CAGGGACAGGGACGGGTAAGCTGGGATGAAGTGAGAGAGTGGCATGGACATATATACACTACCAAATGTAAAATAGATGGCTAGTGGGAAGCAGCAGCATAGCACAGAGAGATCAGCTCAGATCGGTGCTTTGTGACCACCTAGAGGGGTGGGGTAGGGAGGGTGGGAGGGAGATGAAAGAGGGAGGAGATATGGGGATATAAGCATATATATAGCTGATTCACCTTGTTATAAAGCAGAAACTAACACACCATTGTAAAGCAATTATACTCCAAAAAAGATGTTAAAAAAAAAATATGCATTTCATTTGACACTTTGTCTGCAGGCAGTCTATTTACCTGAGTACTTTTGAAAGAAAAACAAATCACCAGCTCAGTCCACATTTGTACTTAGGGATATACAGTGATGGAACACGGAAATGAGAAAGATATTCCCTCAATGTTTCCCAAGTAAATTATGTAGCCTATTTGCATTTTTACCCAGTAGGCAAGGAATTATTAAAAGTTGACTTTAAAGTTTCACTTCTGGGCAGGATTGACTACTTGCACCCCACCCTGTCTCTCGCCTTGAATGCACCTATAAAACCTGGACAGGGCTTCCCTGGTGGCGCAGTGGTTGAGAGTCCGCCTGTCGATGCAGGGGACGCGGGTTCGTGCCCCGGTCTGGGAGGATCCCGCATGCCGTGGAGCGGCTGGGCCCGTGAGCCATGGCCGCTGAGCCTGCGTGTCCGGAGCCTGTGCTCCGCAACGGGAGGGGCCACAACGGTGAGAGGCCCGCGTACCGGAAAAAAAAAAAAAAAAAAAACCTGGACAGAATATGTGCAGCAGCCATTTAAGGTCTCTGGAAAGTAAACAGTAGCAGGCAGATTGGAAACAAAGACAAGCATTCAAAGAATCAGTGAACCAGTGTTGAGTTCACCACATTTTCCCCTTTGTGTCCCCTGGACAGAACTCAGAGATACCTGGGCATCAGCACAGACTTAGAAGCTCCTAGTTAAGGCCTGAAGAGCAAGAATAGGGGTTCTGGCAGCAACAGCAATGGCAGCAAGTAGGCGGAAGATTTCCTTTCTGGAAGATTTTAAACCTAGTATCTTAAATAATTGTAAAACTACTTATGTTATGTATTTCTTATTGGGTGAGTTTTGGTAATTTGTGGTTTTTTTGGAATTGGTCCATTTCATCTAGGCTGTCGAACTTCATACCTAGAGTTGTTCTTTGGGGTCTGCAGTGACAGATCCTCTTTTGATCCTGATATTGGTAGTTTGTGTCTTCTGTCTTTTTCTTCATCAGTCTTGCTAGAGGTTTATCAACTTTTCTTGACCTTTTCAAAGACCAACTATTCTCATTAATTTTCTGCATCATGTATTGAAACATAAGAACTTGGATGAATCTCAGAGTTATTAATGCTGAGTGAAAGAAACCAGTTTCAAAAGATTACAAGCTGTATGGCTCAATTTATATGACACTCTCAAAAGATACAAACTATATTGACAGAGAACAGATCAGTGGTCGTTAGTTGTTAGGGGAGGTGGGTGTGACGACACAGGGTCAGCACAAGACAGGTGTTTAGAGTGATGTGTTCTGTATCCTGACCGTGGAGGACACAACTCTATCTGTGTGCTAAAAATTCATAGCGCTGTAGAACAAAATAAACGCAATTTTACCATATGTTCATTTAAAAAATAAAATTGAAAGTAACTCCTAAGGTCAGAGGAGAAATAAGACTGGTTTAAGAAGTTTCTCAGTTTTAAAACTGATAGTTAATAACTGCCCAGTTAATTAGTTTTTCAATTACATATTTCTCTTCCTTAATAAACATGAGGTCATCATAAAAACAAGTTTGATATACCTATCTTCAACAAGATTTGGGGGAAACAAGGTCTCTCATGTAACATTAGTGGAGTAAATTACTGTAAGATCTTTGGATAGATATTTATCTCCAAGGAAATATAAAATGTGTATACTTTTTTTTTGTTTTTTGCAGTACGTGGGCCTCTCACTGTTGTGGCCTCTCCCGTTGCGGAGCACAGGCTCCGGATGTGCAGGCTCAGCGGCCATGGCTCACGGGCCCGGCCACTCCACGGCATGTGGGATCCTCCCGGACCAGGGCACGAACCCGCGTCCATTGCATCGGCAGGCGGACTCTCAACCACTGCGCCACCAGGGAAGCCCAAAATGTGTATACTTTTTGATCCAACAACTCAACTTCTAGGAATTTCTAGGACAGATGTACAAGATCAAGAATATACATATAAGCATGTCTATGACAGCATAATTTGTACTAGGAAGAGACTATAAACAATGTGGATGTCCATTAATAAGTAAATTACATAGATGCATACAATTAACTACCAGAAAACCATTTTAAAAATGAGGCTAATCATCAATCACTGATTTCAGAAAAAAGTCTCTAAAATTATTAAGAAAAATAACAAGGTGAAGAATAATATATAGCGACTGATCTCATTTTTGTTTAGGAAAGGCCTTATATATGTTGGGGGAGCTTATACATACATAAAAATTCCCAGAAGGATCTATAAAATACTGTTAACAATAGTTCTCTCTTTGGAGTAAGCATGGAGCTATAAGCAGGAGGAGAAAGGAAATAGTTTAAACTTTTCTGAACTGCTAGAAAAACCACAAACATGATACTATTAAAAAACTATTTTCAAAAATGTTAGTAAGACATAATAATGGCTTTGTACAAAGTTTATTCACCAGGATAGCTGGCCTTCTGCCAACCCTGGGAACGTCCATAGTCAGAGGGATCTTAATGGGGTCAGGGCAAAGGACCTGAAAGTTGGTCATCGCTGGTGAGTGAGATGGGAATGGAGCAAACTCTTCCTCCAAGGAATTACGGTCTCACTGCCTACTCAAAGGTAGTCAGAATATAACAGCATACCCACAACCAAAGAGGAAGCTGCCTGGGGTTCTGCAACCAGATCCTGTTGATAAACTCATGGATGAGTCCCAAGGGTTGGACCCAGTTTTTCTGCGTTAACAGTCTATAAGCCCTAGCTTATATTTTTTCTAGTTTACATTATAGTGAATATTTCCAGGACATATGCACAAGAACACAAGAAATTCTTGATACTAAAAGACATCAAGAACAACAACAAAACGAGGTTTGTGATCTTGAGAAAAATTACATAATTGTTTGATCACTAATGTTCTCAACAATACAACAGAGGACTAGGTGACAGGTAGGACCCTTGCTGGTTCCTAGAATCAGTGAGTCACCGTGTCTGGTTTAGAAATTGAATTTTACGTAATTCTTTTTTCCAGATTCAGATTCTATTTGTCATTAGATTGAAACTGGCCAATAGTCATACATCAATTTTGAAACCACATTTCCCCAAACATTATATATCTTGAGTTGGTTGTTCAGATTTAGTATGTGTAGACACAAAGCTCTTAAGCAGAAACTTCTTCACAAATATAAAATTTTCTCTTCTATTAAGTGTTGAAATACATCCTACTTTAGAGACAAGTTATATTTCAAAAATGTGTGCCCTAAGGAAAATATTTCATGACATTTAAGAACAAAAGTCAAAGAACTATTTACTATAAATAAGTGTACTGGAAAATTATCTAAATATTTTAAAATATATTAACAAAAATATCAAAACTTTGTAGTTAAGGGATAAAAGCCAGGCATGAGCTATTTTCTTCGCAGACAAGTTAGTTCATTCTCACTATCCTGCATATCATTCTATACAAAGCTTCCTGATAATTCTGTTCTGCTACTTCTTCTGGGATGTCTGTCCCAACTCTATTCCAGCTTCACCCCAAGAGCCTGACCTCTCTGAACTTTGCATGTGCACTGCTGCCCCTGTTTGCGTCTCACACATCTTTCCTGCCCTCTCTCTGCAGCACCCATCGCCCACAGCAGCCCTGGGTGTTAGCCTGAACAACCTGGCTGGCTGTGTGTCCTGAACTGGCCAGTTTGCTCTTGAGAGATGGGAGAGAGATGGGTGAAGAATGGGAAGGGGCAGACAAAGAGAGGTATGAGGGAGGACAGAGAGAAAAAAAAGGAGAGGGAGGGAGGGAAAAAGAAGAGAGTTAAGGAATAGGTATGTTGGTTACTAGTTTGCCATCCATGTTCAGTTTCTTCCTTCTCCCACTTAAAAACCTTGCCCCGAATAAGTTCTTCATATTTGAAAAAGAAAAGAATCCCTTGAATGATGACAAGTGACATAATATGCGCTAACCTGATCTCTGATGAGAAACTGATTTATCGCCTATATTTCAGAGCCCTGGGAACGGTGACATGAAGGGATAAATGGATTTCAGGGCAGGCAGTGAATTTCTGAGGTGCATTTCAGAAGCCCTCCTCTAAACCATAAATAAAAACAGGTTGACTACAGCCTGGCACGGGTGACTAGGACAAAACGTCGTGCCACCCAGGACCATCAGTCAACACCCTCCTCACAATGCCCCAGGTGCATGACCAGATATTCGATATTCTAGAGAGATGTTTCCCTAGCCGACGGGGGGGGGGGGGGGGGGGGGGGGGGGGGGGGGGGAGGCAGTTCAGAACACCAGAGCTTGAAAGCTATTACCCAGAAAAATATATTGGGGAGGTTGAGGGGTGGAAAAGAATACTACAATCTTCAGTAAAGTTAGCAGCAAGATCATAGTTTCAAAATACACCTGCCTCCCTCATTGCCCCCCAAGACTGACCTCCCACCCTGAACCATTTACTAGCAACCCCAACAATCAAAGGGAACCAGGCACCAATACCCCTGTTCGAATATGAACTACGAGGGTAAGATGGTGGGGTGGGTGAGACACAGGCAGCTATAGGAATAGTGACTGCAGGGAGGACCGAGGCCATCAAATAAGAGAGAAGTTACACAGCTCTCCCTGGGAGGCAGAAGCCCCCAACCCCCAGATCTTCAACTCCATCCATTTCCTCCCTGGCAGGAGAAACTTCGTAAAGAAGTAGAGTCTATCTTTGGACATTTCATAGCAAAAGTGAATGCACAGATTGACACTTACATTTCATTTGCTTGGAGATGGACTTGTTAGGTTCAAGCCAGTGCTGGGGAGAAAAAAAGAGAGAGATTGTGGGTCAAACGGCTGGATGATGTGATGCATACTTAATAACTAAAACGAATTTAATAAAGATATTCTTTTTCCAAAGTACAGCCTCCGTTCCCCATAGATATTCCTCAGGGTTCCACCCTCTAAAGATCAACATGAACAATTGGCAATAATAATACCACAGGCAAGGGTATAAATTACAGAGAATTAATACTTTCTAAGTAGTATTTGAGTCATACAGTTGCTAGGAGAGAAGGACAAGGGAGAAAACATGCACTTAAATTGGATGTTCCAGTGGCTCTAGTTGGCTCCTAGGTGATTCTTTGAGCGCCACTGCTCTGGGCAAACCACAGATGGCTAAAGACTTTGACATCCGCGACCTCTACGAGTCACAGTCCAGCAGCATCCTTTCAGGTTAACAGTGGGCCAAGCCAGCATTAGCTCTGTCACACACAGAGGCAATTCTTCCTTCACAGTAGGGAAGAACATATTATTTTAAATATCTTATTTCAGAGGCCTGAGGTCATCAAGAAGCAAAATCAGCTCCAACACAAAACAAAGAAGCCCAAAGTCCTGAACAGCTCAGAATCGTGTTACTGACAGGTATCTGAAGCAGACACAATGCTGGCCCCAGCGCCTAGCTCTCTCCACACCATGAGTAAAGGTCACTTTGACATGCCGAGATCAGGGCGGCCTCTGATATCACTAACCATGATGCCCCTGAAGCTGCTTAAGGAACGTCAGGAAGCATCACTTTATACACCAGAAGTTTATAAAGATGATAAGAGGGGTGCCAATGGGTATCCATCCAGATGTCAGGGACCCCTCACTTATGGGGCACCCACTCCCTGCTGATTACTGGAGACGAAAGAAGAGGAGGAAACTTACCATCAGTTGAGCACTTACACCTCACTCTATCTCATTTGTGGCATCCAGCAAGCCTCAAGGTTCTGTATTATCCCTATTGTTTGATGTAAATGCGTAGCCATAAAGTGTAACAGGAGCTAGCACTGTTGAGCGCTCAGTGAGTGCCAGACTTTCCAAGAGTTTCCATGAGCTATCACTACCACCCTGTTTACAGATGAGAAATCTTGGGCTCAGGATGTTAAAGAACTTCCCAAGGAAATGGCAAAGGGAAGAAATGGTGAAGCTAGAGCTCAGTGGGATTCCAGAGCACAGGCCCTTAACCTCAGGCATGTGGCCTCCCAACAGATCGGTTCACTCTAAAATGTATTATTCTCCTTGCTGAACACTCCCTACCTCCCCAGGAGCTGGAGAATTGAGTGTTCCAATCAGTAGTCTCCAATCTTGGGTTTCAGATCTTTGTAAGTCTTTAAACAAGAATGGGGGTCTTTTAGCTATTTAAAATAAATCTCTTTTAAATGAAGAATCTGCCAGAAAACCACGCATTTACCCTTGACACGTTGCACAAGCAAACTAATATAGCAAATTTCTTTGCTTCTGGCCAAAATTATACCAACGCATGTTGGGAACCCTGATTATCTCCTTTTTCCCCTGATTTTTTTACTGTGGTAAAATATACATAAAATTCACCGTTCTAACCATTTTTAAGTGTATAGTTCAGTGATATTAAATACATTCATAACGGTGTGCTACCAACACCACCATCCATCTCCAGAACTCTTTTCATCTTGTAATATTTAAACTCTATACCTATTAAACAATAACTCCCATTCCCCCCATCCTCTTGGCCCTTGGTACCATTGTACTTTTGGTTATCTCCTTCTAATCAGAAATTATGCTTGGACTTTACACAGTTAAAATTGAACAGTGAGAAAGGCATATTGATTATACCACTTACTAGCTATATAACCTTGTGCAGAATGTTTAATTTCTGTCTCAATTTCACAACTATAAAGTGGGAATAGTAACAGTACCTACCTTGTAAGGTGGTTGTGATGATTTTAAAAGTTAATAAAAAGTTAATAAACGTAAGGTTGCTTAAACAGTGCCTGGCACGTGAAAAATACTCAACGAATGCTTGTTTGCTGTTGCTGTTGTTGTTACTTAATAAGTACAGTTTAATTGGTAGACCACGTCTTTCAATATATGGGACACATGGAAGAGAATAATAAGACGGGCCTCTGGTGATTAAATTACTTTTCTAGAAATAAATAAATAGGATAATTTAGAACTAAGGCATGAAAACAAATAACAGCAGCCTGAGATCAATAACTATTGCTACTGTTTCACAAAGGAGGATCACCAGTCATTTTGCTAATAAAGTCTGAAATATAAATAAGTTTTCCAAATTCTCCTTGTTTGGCATTCTTTAAATTCCTTAGCCCTTCTCTGCCTAACTTCGGCCTACCTCCCCACCTTCTCACTGCCTCCGGGAATGACAGGTAGGTTTCATTTTGTGTGCCCACAAACTAAATTACTAGTTAGTTGGTGGTAATCTCCCAGAGCTGTGAGGAAAACTCCAAGACTGTGTGAAGGCTTAGGGACAATGAGTGCGGTGATGGATTGGTTACGTCTGCTGTGCCGTGATGGATTGAGTATGTCTCCCACCGAGGGGGAGGAAACATTTAAGACATGCCGCAAGGTATTTGCCATCTGTGCCCTACATAAATTATTTACTTTAAATGAACTGGTCTTCTCATTGTCCTACAAAATACGCCCTGCAGTTTCTGATCGGCTCCAACCTTCCTCTTCCTCTCAGCCTATTCATATTCTGCCCTTGCCTCTCAATTACCTTTGCCTACAATATAATCACTCACTATATACATTTCCAAGACAGCTATTCTTCCCCAATGGGATAGTCACAGGGTATAGAGTCCTAACAAAAATAAGCCAGCAGAATCATGTTTCAAGGGATTACAGAAAATCATTTCTTCAAAGAGCTCAATTTATTAGTATGTACTAAAATTTAAAAACCTGACTGGCCTATGGCCTAGCAATTCCTTTATTCTCTAATTTGGCCATGTGAACAAAGAGGAAAAAACCAGAATTTTCACTGCAGTATTATATAAAATTACAAAATATTAGAAATAACATTAATGGCCATAATCAGGAAGATGGGTAAACAAAATGGGTAAATAAATTCTGGGTAATTCTGCAGCAGTGTTTTATAGGAGGTAAATCTTTATATGTAACATGGTTGAATCCCTAAGGCACAGTTTGGGATGAAAAAAGTGAACTGCAAAATTAATAACTGTGGCCAGAGTTAGTTCCCAAATTGTGCACTGAAGCATCCCAGGGAAGTGCAGCCATACTAGACATCTGCTGGACACCGTGCAACCTATGAGCTCAAGGAGGTCCACAGTTCCAATATTAGAACATATTATAATCCTTTTGATGTCATTCGTTTTGCAAAGTTGGGTTTCCAGTGGTTGCTGTGATTGAAAACGAGTACCGTGCAAAAATAGGTGTGGAACAGGCAATGAGTGTGGTAGCATCTGATCTGATCCCAGGATTTGAGAGCCATGGAGTGTCCAATAAGCACATACTGCCTGTGAGTAAGTAATTATGGTTAAGAATAAACTGAAAATACTCTTTTCAGTGTGTAATGTTTTAAATGTCTACTAAGGCCATAATGGCTATGTTAGGACATAAATACTAAGTTGTTTGGATCTAACTCTTACTTAGATGGAACTGTTAAATATCCTTTTGACCTAGGGCACCATGAAATAATTACTAAGATACTGAAAGAGCCATAAACCAAGAAAGTTTGAGAACTTCTGAACTATGGTATCATACAATTAATGTGTCTTCTCTTTTTTTTAATAGCATCTTATTGTTTTATTTATTTTTTAAAAATTAATTAATTAGTTAATTAATTTTGGCTGTGCCGGGTCTTAGTTGCGGCATGCGGGATCTTTAGTTGCAGCATGCGGACTTCATAGTTGTGGCATGTGGGCTTCATAGTTGCGGCATGCAGACTCTGAGTTGCAGCATGCATGCGGGATCTAGTTCCCTGACCAGGGATGGAACCTGGGCCCTCTGCATTGGCAGCACAGTGACTTACCCACCGGACCACCAGGGAAGTCCCTTAATGTGTTTTCTTTTAAAAAGTAGAAAGTACAAAACACTACCATATATTTTCAAAGAATACATAACAAGCATCTAAATGTATTTTCAAACATCTAAAATGCTACTAAATTGATCCAGTGAGGTGGGTAACTGGGAGAGAACAGGAATTTAGTGGTGTTGGTCAAAGAAAACCATGACTTCCATTTTATCTGTGATATTTTAACTTAAATTTTCACATGTATTCATGCATTACATAAATATTTAAAAATCAATTGAAAAGAAAAACCTAAGCTCTATCCAGAGAATAAAAGCGGATTTCATGTAATTTAGACTCAAGAGGAAGAATTTCATATATAACAGGCAGATGCCAAAGGCAGCCACGCACCCAGGGCTGACAGTGCCATCTGACTCGGGAGCCAGCCAGCCCTGGACTCAGATGCCAGCTCTGCCACTTACTAGTGAGTGGTGTGACCTCCATCAAGTTCCTCTGTTTCCTCACAGCATCATCGTGAGGTTTAAATGGGTTAATTCATTTAGAAGCCCTTAGAACAGAGCTTGGATCGTAGTGAAGGCTCAATAAACACCAGCTGCTCCCATCTTCCTCCCGTTCACTGAGACTCCTAAGTTGGTGCCAGGGTGGTGAGCCCACATTTGTCACTCTCTTCCTCTCTCCCTCCCCACCCCACCTGCCTTCTGCTCTACATGAACATATAATTCTCCTTCCTTCTTTCATTCTTCCTTTTAGAGTTAAGAGCTGGGCAATGAAGTTGAGTCTGGACTACACCAACAACTCCTGCTGAGAGTGTCTGTACAGATGGATTACACGCTCATGAGAAAATAACAACCATGGTGTGGTGTGCTTGGCAATTAGATATAAGGCTTAGAACATCTATCACATTGCTATTTTCCCCTTCAATTGCTACTTGGAATATATGATATCTTTTTAAGTCTGTTTCCTTGCTGAAAACTGATATTCCCAGAGAGAGGAAGAAAGGAAAACCTGCC